GAGGCCTGCTTCTCCCTCTCCCACTCCCCCTGCTTGTGTTCCCTCTCTCGCTGTGTCTCTGTCAAATAAATAAAATCTTTAAAAAAAAAAAAAAATCCTGGAGGGGGTTGGTGAACGCAAAGAGGTGCTGCCCTCCCTCCTGGAGGGAGTCCCCCCTCCTTCCCCGGGGGAGTCCCCCGTCCAGGGCCTCAGCCTGCAGATCTGTGCGTGCCTGACGCTCCCACAGCACCTGGAGCACTGCATTTTCAGATCCACGATTTTAGTAACTTGAAACCGAAACAGGGAACAGTGTTCCATCTCGGTTATTCTTTTAGGTAACTGTTTGCTAGATCTACCACGCAAGCAGATCCTGGGCCCCGAAGAACTGCCGGGACAGACGTACGACGCCACGCAGCAGTGCAACCTGACCTTTGGGCCCGAGTACTCCGTGTGCCCCGGCATGGATGTGTGCGCCCGCCTCTGGTGCGCCGTCGTGCGCCAGGGCCAGATGGTGTGTCTCACCAAGAAGCTGCCAGCCGTGGAGGGGACACCATGTGGGAAAGGGAGGATCTGCCTGCAGGGCAAGTGTGTGGACAAAACCAAGAAAAAATATTATTCAGTAAGTGATTTGCTTGTCACGCAATGCCTGGAGACACGGGATCTGAGGTCCATTCCTGTGACATGTGTGGGTACCATCTCAAGAAGTCTTTCTTTCCCGGGTCAAATATGTTTCCTCGAGAGGCCCAAGCAAAGCATTTGCTGGCTCTCCTCTGAGTTTCAAAGTCCCGAGGAGAGCACTGACACAGGGCACAATGCTCATGTCTTTCAAGACTATCCCACGGGGCGCCTGGGTGGCTCAGACAAGGTTAAGTATCTGCTTCCGGCTCAGGTCATGATCCCGGGGTCCTGGGATCGAGCCCCGCATAGGGCTCCCTGCTTAGCCGGGAACCTGTTTCTCCCTCTGCCTGCCGCTCCCCCTGCTTGTGCTCTCTGTGTCAAATAAAAAATAAAAAATCTTTTAAAAAAAGACTACCCCACAACCGTGCACTCTCAGATACTCTCACAGCAGCCCCAGGAAGTTCTCCACCCAGTCCTTCAGCAAGGTAGTTTATAATATTCTTCTCTCTGGAAGTCTCTCCGCTTCCTGCTACCATGTTTCCAGAATGACAGACCTAGAGTCTTTTATTCCCCCGTGGTGTGGGCGCTCGTGATGTGTGCCTGGGGGGTGAGTGCACTTCAATATCTGTCACAGTCCCTCCCTACGGAAAAGGACTCTGGTCTAATGAGGACTGAAACCCGACTCAGGTCAAATACATTTATGCATGTGACGGAGGGTCTGTCTGATGGGATGTGTGATATCAACAAAGCGATGCAGAACGTCAGCGCCAAACAGGGAGAAAAAAACGTAAATAGAACCAACTCTTCCAGGCATCATGCGAAACCTTTAGCATCATTTATTTTGTCAAAGATGAAAGATCAGAGTTGACGGAAACTTAGCTATGGTTCAAGTGGTTAACAGAAATGCACCGTATCAGAAAGTGCAGAGAAACCCGTGTGCTCAGTACTGCCAGGGAAACATTCAGATCCTGGTGCCCTGGGGGGCGGGGCAGCAGGGAGCAGAAGAGATGACTCGCTTAGACTTGGAATTACACTGTAATTCCAGGATGTCCAATATCTGTGGCCATGTTCAATTCAGTGAAAATTTATACCTGAATAATATATATTTATATATATATATTATATATTTATTTATACCTGAATATTGAATGCAAGTGATTTCCAAATGTACATTTTGAAAGTTCTTTTTTTCTCCCTCCTGTGTTAAAATGTCTTCTGTTTTCCATTTCAGACATCAAGCCATGGCAGCTGGGGATCCTGGGGGTCCTGGGGCCAGTGTTCTCGCTCATGTGGGGGAGGAGTGCAGTTTGCCCATCGGCACTGCAATAACCCCGCACCCAGAAACAGTGGCCGCTACTGCACAGGGAAGAGGGCCATCTACCGCTCCTGCAACGTCATGCCCTGCCCACCGAACGGTAGGCTACTCCCAAGTGTCAGCAGCCACCGTGTGCCATGTGTAATTTGTATTCAAGCGGTAATATATAAAGGAGGCTGGAGAAATAACCTGTTAATCGCGCACCACACGGTTCCACCAGTGTGCAAATCAATAACAAATACATGAGTGATTTTTTAAACTATTATTAAAAACAATTAGGTATTTAGAGAGTAGGAAGGAAATAATAGTTGCTTTCAACTCCCGTGTACCGATAAAATCCAATGCTGGTGGTGTGTGAAGAGGGTCTGAAAAATAAAGTTCGCATCTTCTTGTTAAAATTACTTCAATGCACAAGACTATGTCTAAGTTTCAGAATACACAAAGTAATACCATGACATGTTTGTTTTTTAGGTAAATCTTTTCGTCACGAGCAGTGTGAGGCCAAAAATGGGTATCAGTCTGACGCAAAAGGAGTCAAAACGTTTGTGGAATGGGTTCCCAAATATGCAGGCGTCCTGCTGGGGGACGTGTGCAAACTGACCTGCAGAGCTAAGGGCACCGGATACTATGTGGTGTTTTCTCCAAAGGTAATTGCACACCAACTGTCCAGAAACAGCAGACTTCCTTGCGGGAAATTATTTGGTAGAGTAAAGCCTAGAGATACCAAATATCAAGTCATTATTTATTGGTTGACTAGATTTTGGAGCATTTTGTTTTCATCTCTATAGTGTCTATGTTTGCAAACCTTATACAAAGAACAAAAATTATTCTGTAAACCAAGTAAATGTTTTAAAAGCTATTTGTTGAAAAGTTGTAACTCTCTGTCAGAGAAGGTGAGGTGCGACCTTCATTTCAAAACTGCCATGGAAACAACTAGAATTTCCTAGGTACGTTTGTACAGGAAACTGAAAGCAAGAAAACTTTCTACTTTTCTATCATTTAATTAAGAATTCCTTTGATGATTTATGAAGATAGGTTTCAAGATCATCTTCTCGGACCCAAACCTTTAAATGTCTTGCACCCTTAATATGAATCAATGTCCCTATAGTTATAGACGTTACAATATATGCACATGAAATTATCCCTGATTTTTCACAGGAAAGCATTTTCTAAATTACTAACACTTTTATTTCTCACAATCAGTGTTATGCAGCAATTTAAAATACTGTTTATCTAATTTGTAAGCAGGTGCTACATTTCAAATCACCTTGAAAGGGGCCTTCAGATTTGTATGAAATATGACAGAAAAATAAGTTAACGTCCAACTTATGTAATTTTTAAAATACTTTATCTTTTTATTGCAAGATAATACGTTTTCATTTAAAAGATATGACAAAAAATAAGAGCAGAAATATCACCTGGCCGTGCCACCATCTGAAGAGCTGTGAGCCTGTTGGAGTACACCCTACTTTAGTTCACACACATACACTCACATACTTACACGCATATGAAAAGAATTGTATATACACAGATACAAAACACATCGGTTTATTTACATATACGACTACGTATGTTATTTATATATACTCACATGCATAAACCACAGGGTCCATATATGTATATGTACTCTTTTATAACTAGCTTTTTAAGTATGTACTGATTCCTTTACTCAAAATATATTCAGTGTCTCCCAGTAAGTACTTCCCTCTGAGTTCCCCAGACTCTTTCTCCACTAATTTGTTGGTCTCTATTTCAGCATCTGACAGTTCAGCCCGTGATAGGGAATGCTTTCCAGCCATTAACAAGGTTCTGAATGTCAAGTTCAGATTCTCAAATGTATTACTATAGTAACCGTTATGTCCCAAAGAGGGATCTCGGCAATCTTGAGCCTGCTCATTTTCTGCTCTCCACACAAGTGACAAGTCCCCCAGGCTAAGCGAAATGATTGCTTCTATTGATGTAGAAAGGCAAGAACGTACCAGGGGGCTGTGCTCTGCATGCAGAAAGCAAGGTGAATACCTTGGGTCTCCTGGCGTATTTGGAATTAAGCTCAAGGGAGAAAAGGCATAACCCACATTTATCCCGGATCTGCTACTGCCAAGACATCAAGGATTTTTCAGTTAGATACTCTGGGGCAGGGGCGCCTGGGTGGCTCAGATGATTAGGCGTCTGCCTTCGGCTCAGGTCATGATCCCAGGGTTCTGGGATCGAGCCCCGTATTGGGATCCCAGTTAGGTGGGGAGCCTGCTTCTCCCTCTCCTTCACTGCTCCCCCTGCTTGTGCTCTCTCGATCTGTCAAAGAAATAAATCTAAAAAAAAAAAAAAATCTTAGAAAAACAAAAAAGATACTCAGGGCACTATGGTTTGGGATTGGTCGTCTATTTTTCGATGCACTATCCCAGTCAAACTCAAAACTCCACGTATTAGAACTTGCTGTTTTACCATGGACACCAAGTACCTGTGCACAGATATCTTCCCACCGCTCATGGGGTCCTTGTTATGCAGGTGACGGATGGGACTGAATGCAGGCCGTACAGTAACTCCGTGTGCGTCCGGGGCAAGTGCGTCCGCACGGGCTGTGATGGTATCATCGGCTCGAAGCTGCAGTACGACAAGTGTGCCGTGTGTGGGGGAGACAACTCCAGTTGCACGAAGGTGGTTGGAACTTTCAGTAAAAAAAGGTAAGGTGATAAATCGTTGCCCTGACAGGAATCAAACAAAGCTTTAGACTTGCGCGACTGAAGAAGGGGCCTCATGTCACATCACAAGCTGTCTGTGGGAGGTGGTCCAGCATGGCCCTAGTAACGTATCGTACACTGAGAACCAAGGTGGGGCGGGGGGGTTGGCGGGAGAGAAAGTTCCGGTTGCAGAGTGCAAACTCTCAGCCCCTCTGGAAGCAGATACACTGCAATGGCTCTGAGGTCAAGATCTTGCAGCGTGCAAACACTGAAAAGAAAAAGGCTGTGACTGGGGCACCTGGGTGGCTCGGTCGGTTAAGCATCTGCCTTCGGCTCAGGTCATGATCTCGAGGTCCTGGGATTGAACCCCGCATCGGGCTCCCCGCTGAGCGGGGAGCCTGCTTCTCCCTTTGTGCACACTCTCTTTCTCTCTCTGAAATAAATAAATAAAAATCTTAAGAAAAAAGAAAAAAGCTGTGACATCCCCACTAGCAATCTCTGGCAGATCTATTATTCCTGAAACATCATTTAGGGAAGGATGGCCAGTTTCCATCATAATTATTTCGTTTTACAGACAAATGTTGACTAGGCTATATTTTTCTTGAGGAGACATCTCTCATTGCAAAATGTAAGTTAGTGGCAGGGGTGTAGACAATAATATCATTTTATAATGACCTCTCCTGGTTTGTATCTACTGTATAAAGAATATACATACAGTAATGTCTGCTTCTTCTTATGGGCCTTGATTATGCTTTCGTTTTAAATATGTAAGTTTATAAAGTACCAGTTTCTGGAATTAAATATTTTTTGCCCAAGTGCAAGTGAGGGGAGGGGCAAAGGAAGAGAATCTTCAAGCAGACTCCCCACGGAGCCTGACCCAGCGCTCCACATGGGGCGCGATCCCATGACCCATGAGATCATGCCCTGAGTCGAAACCAAGAATCAGTCACTTAACTGAATGAGCCACTCAGGCACCCCTGGCATTAAATATTATGTTATCAGTGAGGATGAGGGAGCCAGCTAAAGTGTCTGCTGGAATGCAGGATTGTCTTTTTTCTTCACCAAACCACTCTTATGCTGAGTGGTATTGGTCCAGCACCCCCATATTCTTGATGTATGTGTTATGTTGTCTTTCACTGGAGGGTAATATGCAAACCATATTAACAATAAGGATTTATTAAGACAATCGCATGTCATGTTATTGTGGAAAACTGGAAATTATCCTTGATAATAATAAAAAAATGGTATGGCTGAAGAACTTATTCTGAGTTTAAATATGCATTACTAATCCTATTTTCTAGTGATTTAGTAATTATTCATCCAATTGTATTGAGCTATCTTCATAAAATACCCCACAAGTCGATCATATACTGCATTTTTATATATTGCAAATATGCAAGACACCTTAGAAATGATGAAGTCTGCCTTATTGTTTTACAAATGAAGAAACTGGGACTCTGAAAGTTTAGGGCTTATCTAATTTTGCATGGCTGATGAATGCCAAAGCAAAGGCTATACCTTAGGTCATAAGAAGGAAAAAAAAAAAACAAGGAAAGAAGGAAGGAAGAGGAAGAAATTCAGAAATCAAATAGGAAATAAAATACCTTATGTACTAATAAAATGTGCTGTATATTCTTCCTACATAAACTTATAAGCCATAAAAAGTGGCTATTTATTTATTAAAAATAAATACTGTATTTGGCATTTTGTTTTTTGGATTGGCAACCAATATCTGCACATGTGTTGTCCCATAAAAAGATGAAGGAATTCCTGATAGTGACAAGCGGTGGGCAACCTGATAGCTTGCAAACGGATTTGACCAAGATTATATTATGTGGTACAAATGATCTGTTTAACTTTTCCAAATAAATTACCTTGGCCTACTGTGATATATAAAAAAGGACATTGATCTTGGAGCTGAGATCTTTGTAATCGAGATCTGTATGATCTCTCAAGAGTCACTTCATTTTTTTTTTTTTTACTATCAGAATTCTTGAGAGTCAAATGGAATTAATAGTAATTTTCTTGCAAGTTAATATTGCTGTGAGGATCCAGTGAGATCATGCATATTAAAATATTTCATCAGAGCGCCTGGGTGGCTCAGTTGGTTAAGCGACTGCCTTCGCCCAGGTCATGATCCTGGGGTCCTAGGGTCGAGTGCCGCATCGGGCTCCCTGCTCAGCGGGGAGTCTGCTTCTCCCTCTGACCCTCCTCCCTCCCATGCCTCTGTCTCTCATTCTCTCTCTCTCAAATAAATAAATAAAATCTTAAAAAAAAAAATATTTCATCCAGCTCAAACCTCTTCACGAATATGACCCTACCTTAATTCACCCCTCTCTCAATGTTCTTCATCTCAGTATGTGGCAACTCAGTCCTTCCATTGCTCAGTACCAGAACAAGAGAATCCTATTTTACCAAGGCACTAAGAGATCAAGGCACCAGTCCTCCCACTGACCGTTGCCTTATGAAGCTCAGCTTGAAGACCCCTGCAATGGATTCTCATGAATCTGAGACAGATTCTCAGGAATAAGGATAGAAAAAAAGCTCTCCTACCTGATTCCCTTACCCTGCATTCTTTATTTGCTTTACACCGTGATAGATATCATTTAAACTCTGAATATAACCAGAACATATTTTCATGTAACTGTCAGAAAGTATGACTGGCAGAGGCAAGGGGTGGGGGGGGATATTGGGAAAGGAGTAAACTAGGAGTAAGGGGCCATGGCTTTTGAGCCTAGCACTGCCACTGGATCTAGAGTGCACTTGTTCAAATACTTTAATATACCTCCACTTCATATGTTTTCTATGTAAGACATGATACTCTCTCCAACATCCCTCCTGGTTTTGTTCGAAGCCACTGTAGGTTTGCATATGACCTCTTGCTATTAGATACTTCAAAAAAAAAAAAAAAGTCCTGTAACAAATCCTAATCCAAAATGTCTTACAAAACTAAAAATAATGAGTCACGTTGACTGGATAAGCAATATCATCTCTCCCAAATCGGTAAGAAACTCTGACACCTGTGTGGGCATAAGCCTGTCCAACAGATGCTCAGTAGACAGTGGGCTTCCCTGGGGAGGAGCCTCCCCTCTAATTTAGAGGGAATGGCTGGGCAGGGAAAATACACTTGGATTTTCAGGGTATGAATCAGTTGCCCTATCACCTCTAAACCTGAATAAGAATTTTAACAGGTAATTAAATTTCACACACATCAAACTTCACAATTTATTTATTTATATTCAAATAACTAAGAAAGCAAAACATGTGGTGACCTTATTATAAACTTGCTTATAGAGGCAAAGAGTTTCACAAATGACTCCTTACTGGTATAGTCCCTTGGCACTTAATTAGCATTTCTGTCCTAGCCTTTTTCAAAAGCTGTGATCAATACTAGAGGTATCGATGCCTTTGCCCATTTTCCTGAGCAGATGATGGCTCATTAGAGACCTACTTTATTTGTCACCCATCATATAAGCTCACTCAATCTATCATAATGTTCATGGGCACGAAGTATCTGAGGAAATTTGCTATGGCATTAAAGATTCATTTTTTTTTCTTTTGATGATACTGGTAAGCTATGGTTACCCACTTACAGAATTTTATATTTCATGTGTGTTCTGCTCAAGAAATCCAGTGTTCTAGTAGAAATAGAAGCAGAGCTTCTACTCCGTCTCTAGTTCAACAGTTAAATCCATGGTTCCCCAACTACTCTGCACATTTGGAACAACTCCCAAAGTCCTGCTGCCTCTGCCCCATCCTGACAGATGGGATTTAATTGGCCTGGGGTCTGGGGATTTAAATTTTTAAAAGATCTCCACATGATTTTAATATGCAAATGAGTTTGAGACATTAATTTAAAGCTTTCTATGAGATTGAGGGCAGATTTTTGTTTGTGTTTACATATATCCCATTTTGTGCCGGAACGATAGGATTTGATAAGGATGTTGTAATGTTAAATAAAGTTGACATACATTTTTTTAAAAAGGCAGGTTGCTAACATCATCCTAATTTTGAACATCGTAATAAAAATGTATACAATATCATAGTCTAATTGTAATTTTATTTTGTTATAAGAAAACTAATCTTTGAAGCCAATTTTATTTTTTTTTAAGATTTTATTTATTTATTTGACAGCGAGAGAGAGAGAGCACAAGCAGGGGAGTGGCAGGCAGAGGCAGAGGGAGAAGCAGGCTCCCCGCAGAGCAGAGGGAGCCTGATGTGGGACTCAATCCCAGGACCCTGGGATCATGACCTGAGCTGAAGGCAGTCGCTTAACCAACTGAGCCACCCAGGCGCCCTGAAGCCAATTTTAAATGAATCTCTTAACTACATTAAAACTTTGTGTTAAGATAAAGTAAGACTTTTAGAGAACTTTGATTTGTTTATCCATTTATTAAGTGTTTACTTATTTTTTTCCTTCTCTCTCTCTGTCTCTCTCTCTTCTCTCTCTCTCCCCCTCTCTCCTCTGGGGACATTTTTGCTTCCAGTAAGGGTTACACTGACGTGGTGAGGATCCCCGAAGGGGCAACCCACATAAAAGTTCGACAGTTCAAAGCCAAAGACCAGACTCGATTCACTGCCTACTTAGCCTTGAAGAAGAAAAACGGTGAGTACCTCATCAATGGGAAGTACATGATCTCCACCTCAGAAACCATCATCGACATCAATGGAACCGTCATGAACTACAGCGGCTGGAGCCATAGAGACGACTTCTTGCACGGGATGGGCTACTCAGCCACGAAGGAAATTCTCATAGTGCAGATTCTTGCAACCGATCCAACTAAAGCGTTAGATGTCCGTTACAGTTTTTTTGTTCCCAAGAAGTCCACCCCAAAAGTCAACTCTGTCACCGGCCACAGCAGCAATAAAGTGGGCTCGCCCAGTCCACGGCTGCAGTGGGTGACGGGCCCGTGGCTTGCCTGTTCTCGAACCTGTGACATGGGCTGGCACACCAGGACGGTGCAGTGCCAGGACGCCAACCGCAAGTTAGCGAAGGGATGCCTTCTCTCTCAGAGGCCTTCCGCGTTTAAGCAGTGTTTACTCAAGAAATGTTAGCCTGTGGTGATGAGGTTCTGCAGAGATAACTGGGCGTCTCATCACGGAGCAGTCCTGGCCAATGGGGGTGATCCGTCGTGGTGAACGAGAGGTCTACCTAAAGCACAGAAAGTCACGCTTCGATGGCATTGTCAACAGGAGTCTAATTATGGGCAGAATCTGCTCTCGGTGACCAAAGGAAGATGTACACTGTTCCGTATGAACAGTGGTGACCTTGGAATCTCAGAAACTCTTGGGAGTTATTGAACATCCCCTGGGCTACAAGAATGAAAAAACACTGATGAATGTAGAATCAGGGGACATTTGAAGATGGCAGAACACCAGTCTCCCCCTTGTCACCTACCTCTTCTGGAATGTCTTCAGAGGCATCATAATCATTATCATCCACAATACACAGTAGCTTATTTTTACTGTTTGTAAATACATTCTCCCTTGATATGTCACTTTATATCACTTGGTTCTATTAAAAATGTGTGTGTGTGTGTGTGTTCTCTATACACACACACACACATATATATTTCTATAAAAAATGTTTGACCAAAGTAGGTCTGCAGCTATTTCAACTTCTTCTAGTTTCCAGAAAGAGCTGTGGATGCTTTACTGGAAATGAAGAACTTGCTGCAGTTTTAATAAGATTTTGCATACTTTCAGACTACAGGAGATCAAATTTTAGTCAAAAACCATTTTGACAGCAAGCATCTTCTGAGAAATTCTAAGAAGAAAAAGGATCTCAGTGTATCTAGTCATTTAAATACATACACGGGTCCATTTCCTTAAACTTTTGACTGCCTGCATTTTTTCAGGCAGCCAGGCGAACTGAGGCATAATTAGGATGTAGAAATAGTGTTTGCGTGTGTGTATGTTATGAGTATTCAAGAGTCTGAAAACTAGTTTCTCACCCTAAAAACTAGTTTTCTCATGTTAGAATTTAAAAGGAAAAAAAAAAAGACCATATTTCACCATAGTCTCGATTTATATTCTCACACCACTTTCCCCGTTCGGAAGCTTTCATCTGATACCTTATATTGTCTAATATTCATACGAAACACACTGCAGAGAGTTTTCTGTTCGCATCCAAAACCTTCAACACTGGTATACCTCTTACCAGCAAGCCTTTAAAATGTGTTTGTTTTTGCTTGTCTGTCTAAGGGTTCTGTAAGACCTGCAATGTTTTGTACTTCTTGTTGACTTAGTTTGATAGGAGTATTAAAGATCACTTTGTAGTTGGCCACATCTAGACGTGGTTATCATTAATGTGGCTCAAGCAGAAAAAAAGTAGTGGTTAGTATTAATAAGACTGTTTCCACACCGTACAGGCAATAATTCTTTGCATTTTCTTTTTAAATCCAAGTATACTGATACTGTACTTAAGATTTTTCCCAATTGGAAAGCATTTGGTTGTACCCCTAAGTGTTTGAGTGATGAAATGTGATGATTTTTGAGAAGTTTGTTGCTTCTATTTCCGTAGTCTGTCTAGGTAGGTTGTTAAGTTCGGTTATTAGATATGGAAAAGTTTTACAATCACATGCATAAAAATCCTTTTTTAAACAGTAAACTGCACCCCTCCACCCCATAGCTCAGAAAATCCAAGGTGTTCCAATTTCATTGGAATTTTTTTCTTTATGAAATATTACAAAGCCAATTGTTTGTTATAAAATTTTATAATAATCGTACCAAATGTGCCTACTCTTAAAGATTTGCATATAAAGATGTTAGGGGACCATTGTTTGAGTTCCCTTAAGCTCACAAGAGTTTATTTTTATTAGAAGATATTTTTAATATAGAAGAATTAATGTAATTGATCTAGCTATATCACATTCATTTCAGTGGGAGAGGAGAATGGATGTCTCACTGTTTTAAATATTTTCTTAGGAAATTACTTGGTAAAACAAATAATTGTTCTACAAAACTGATAATCATCCTTTGGCTTTTCATAGACGGTCTTTCCTTTAGACGTGGTCATTTATTCTTTAAAGAATTTTTTTTTTTTATTTATTCATTTGAGACAGAGAGATACAGAGAGAGAGAGAGAGAGAGAGTAGGAGCAGTGGGGAGAGGCAGAGGGAGAGGGAGACGCAGACTCCCCGCTGAGCAGGGAGCCTGATGCGGGGCTCGATCCCAGGACCCTGAGATCATGACCTGAGCCGAAGGCAGACACTTAACAACTGAGCCACCCAGGCGCCCCAACGTGGTCATTTATTCTTAATAAATTATTCATTAGGGAAATGAGGCCCATATAGAACTTTTGGCCTCCATACATTTGATGGAGGTCACCAGATAAAAGAGAGAGGGAAGGAAGCTAGTCAAATCAGTCAGAAGAAAAATTTTAAATTACATCAACTATTTGACTATTCCAAGAGAATTAATAGTGAGGTCGACATTACTTTTTCCCAATTTTTGAAATAATTTTAATCAATTAATTCTGATAAAGTTTATTTTTATCTTTTGTGGCTATATCCACAGCAACATTAAGAAATAACTGAAGGGCAAACATGCTTGTCTCCTACTCTGCTTCTCTATACCATATGCACAGAGGTTTTTTAGCACGATCTATCATTATTTTTCCCCCATATAAAGAAGTTTTATATTTCTCAATGAAACAACTCTAGAGAGCTTAAAAGGAATAAACCACTATTCCATGCTTTTAAGGAGTTTTCTTTAGTTTTTTCATATCAGTATCGATAGATTGAGGAATGTATGTCTGTCTAAACTCCTGAGAAAAACGATATAGACTAGAAACTGAAATTCAGAGAAATGGAGTGTTCAGTAGATATAAGGAATGATAAAGGGAAAATCCTCCATAATGAAATCTAGTTCAGTCCAGTTGAATGTTGGACTATTCATTTCACCTTTCCAGACTTGCATCGTGAAAAAAGAGTCTGAGATTCATGATGCTGAGGCTCCTTCCTTAGGAAAAAAAAAAAAAAAAGTTTGTCTAAAAATGCTCAGGTTAGTTAAGAATCTAATCCCACAAAACAAAACACTCCAGATTAAGTTTCACTGAATAAAGGGAGCCCAGAAGAAAATAGCATTTCTTTCTTCTGGAACAGAAAAGGCCAAATTAAGCCCTGCCTTGTTGTTTAAAGGTTTAAGGGTGTTATTTTGATCTATTCAGTCAATTCAACTTCCTTTGCCTTCCTGTGGAAACAGTTTTATCCCATTAAACTAAGAATTAAGGGATTTATCACAAACAAAAATAAAGTTGCAGCACTGAAAAAAAAAGTAATTTATTGTTTTTGCGACTGGTATGTGAATTTGTGTGATAAAAATATTTATTCTTATTTAACAAAAATATGTGCAAATTCTATATTTAAAATGTTTTGCTGTTGTCCTACTTTTAATTTATGCTTCATGTTTGTGTATAAAGTACACTTTGTGAGTTTACATAATATACAACACTGGTTGCTTTCGTATTTTTTTACAGAAGGCTTTCTGCGTGAAACAGGCATATATGTATATGTTCTCCACGTATCCTTATTCTGATAATACACTTTTCCTTTCTAAGGAAGTTTTAAATTTAATCTTTCTTAACTAGTAGTGTTCATTACTTGTAGTTACACTAATCGGTCTTTTGGGTTTCATTAATACTAATTCTTCCAAGTCACAGATAAGAAAAACACTTATTCAAGCAACTACGGTCTAAGTTCCAAACTTGGTGTAGATAGCTGGAAGCTTCCCATAGAAGCTAAGACACAGTTGAGAATCAGGTCCATTCATTTCACTGATAAACCTGGACAAGGAGCTGTTGATGTATTATATGAAATTTGTGTACACATAACTTCCCAAGAGACACTGATGATAATAAAACCAAATATTGTCCTTTGCTGCTTTAAGAACACTCTTTAAAAGTTAAAATCATTTAGTCTCTAGTATTGGTAGGATTCGATAGGGAGAGTAAACAAATTGAATTTAAGTTTTTCAAATATTAGTAGTCATGAATAGTTCTACGACTATGGGGTCTCCATTGATAGAGTGTGACTTTGTACTCTACTAATGAATCTCATGGAGTGCAAATAGGACTTGGGACAAGCAGGGACACCTTTGATCACATCAGCTTGCCTCTGACTAGGATTTCAGTCTGGTCACAGCAATAAGGCAAAGCACCCTTGGATATACAATTGACCAGATCAATCTCTGGTTCTGACATTTCCCCCCTTGACTCCTTCCTTAGTAACAAGGTCATTGTAATGGTTTAGGTGAGCACAACAACCAGATTCAATGAAGTCCAGAACCCGTGTATGACTTAGAGTTCACTTTTTTTGTGAAATAAGATTGAAATTAATAATGGCCGAATTTTGCTAATAGTTTATGGCTGAGGATTGGGGACTATTACTAATCTATTTATAATTAAACTTGAGGCGATAAAAATCCCTTATATTTTTAACATTTCAAAGTTAATAAATGAATAACCGTGAGTACAGAAATGATCATCCAAAGTTATAGAACCAAGGTCAGGGTCAAGGTAATCTATTACTTAGACACACAAAAAGGAACTCGTGTATTTTCTCTATCATTTTTCTTATTTGCCAACAACCTGTAGTTTTAGACTATCAAACAGGTAGATCAGTTTAGCTAATTAGTCCACTGAAAAAAAAATCTTCCTAATAATCTCCCTGCCAGCATGAACTAGAGAAATACTTCTCAAGTTATAGGATCACGAAACGTATCAATCTATAATGTATAATTATCTTCTAGTCCATTAACATATGGGAACATACTGAAATAAGAACCGATTGCATTAGTGAGACAAAAATGCAAATATACATGATGTTCAGATCACAAAAGTATTCGATCTGCCAAATGTCTTTCTGGTGCAATGATACCATAATTCTCAATGCAGATTTTGTGGGAAAAAAAAATAAAAGAACATGGTGTTAGAAGTTGTTGGTTTTAAAAGAGACCAAGACTGAAATGTACATATTAGTTAACCCAGTTAATTGCACCTTCTTAATACAGTAGCACTTTAGCAGTAACTTGGCTACCTGTGGTTCTGATCCTGGAGCTCCACCAACTGGTCCATGTGGACTGTTGGAGGTCAAATGAAAAACCACATGGCCCATCATCTTAAGGCATGGCCACATCAGAGTGATCCAAAGTCTAACACTGTGAGGAAAACTGTGATTTGTAAATAAAGCAGCATTCTTTTTTCTTTTTTCATTTTCTTTTAGCACATCCAATGAACAACCGTAATTTTTATCAAGGTGCTAATATCTTCAGTGATCAACTGTCAAGTGTGGGATTTCTGAGTTACCATTTTATTCTGCATGATTTTTCAATTTGCAAAAGAGAACTCAGTTTTGGGTCAAGGCAAGGCACAACTTGATACTCCCTGTTTGGGAAGTTGCATCAAATGGTCAGTCTGCTCAGCAGGGTTCAATGACATAAGCTATAGGTACATCAAGGATGTTTAAGGTGACATCAAAACTTGACGAGTGTCAGGCTAGAGGAACAGACTTTCAGAGGAGTCAGGTTTCATCACTTACTAAGCCCTCGGTGTTCCTTTCAAATCTACCTTTCAAACGAACTTGTTTGTTTCCTGTATACAAACTTGTGTGATATTTAGCCTGACTTTTTTTAGCTTTGCGATATTTTATGTCCATTGTAAACACTTGGCTACTACTTCTTGGTCTTTTCTTTAGCAATCCACAGCATATTAGAAGCACTTCAACCCAGACTGAGTATAGGAGAATAGAAGAATAGAATAGGAGATCATGTGTGGGACTTTGTGAGACTAGACTTTGGATTAAGAAAACTACATTGTCTCTGGATGGTGTTTTTGGGTTACACACTTGGGCATGACATAAACGTAGGAGTTGACAAATACTGCTTACATTTTAGTATGATGTATGAGCAGAAATCATACGCATGCTTTGTAAATAGACCGCAGGTATCTAAACAGATTGCAGAAATGCATTTAATTTGATGTAACCAGTGGCACAAATATTTGATTCCTATAGTAGAGTCTGTGAGTGAAAACAGGTGATCAACCTAAGTGGGTACAACTGCCATTTTTAAATCTTGAAACATGCTTTCAAGGTAGAGTAAAATATTGAAGATTGACATGTTGTTGTATATAAGCAGTAAAATGTAAACTGCTTACTATCTTCAACTTTTCAGAAGTGATGGTATTTTTCCATAAATGTTAATGCAGTTGAAAAACCAAAATCTTGGAAAACTAAGACGGGTCTTGTTTAAAATGTCTCTTCAGTTTTGGCAAATTTTGAACCTGAA